CTCATAACGGCAATGGGGTCTCTTCGTTGAGTCTGACATTCCATGACCTATCCACTACATATAATTGGTTCTTTTTTTCTTAAAAAAAAAAGTAATAAATTCCGTACACTTGGGCTACAGAGAAAAAGAAACAAAGCTCAGCTCTCTTCCCCCAAGTAAAGTGACCATCTCTGCGTGGAAAAGGATAAAGTAATTGGTGCGTTATGTCTGTATTCCATAGACAGGTTCCTCTTTCTAGGGCTAAGGGAAAGTAAAGCTTAGATCCCGATCAGGATTCTTTGTATGCATTTTGTTATTCTTCTAATCTAGATTTTTAGTCAAAAAGGTTGTGTGTGATTGGTGCAAACAAATATGGATTTATGATTTCCAAGACACGCAAAATCTCACAAGTCACACCCCATTTGACGCGAAATTGCTGCACAACTTTTATTGTGTTAGTGGAGCCTTTCACCTCCTTGGACTCCACATCACTTTTCTCACTGCCTTATTTCAAGCTAAAGTATATTCTCCGTTCTGTGAACATGAGACGATGAGGACTAAAACGAGATATAGGGTACGGTGTACTGTATGCTAGGATTTATCTTATTAGACGCCGAGTGCCCCGTTCATTACTTTTTCTTTCATAATCTATTTCTTTACATTCAATCATAGAAGTAGGACTAATATCGGTTTATTGGGGAACATACTTACTCACTAGGGCCAAAAGACTAGGGAAATGATTGTTAATTTATATTGAGAGAGAGAGAGAGAGAGAACAACCAATGTTATGTTACTATATAGGCAGTGAAAGAGCTGTACCTGGAGCGATATAACCATATGAACCAGCAATCGCCGACATGCACTCTGAAGTTCCAGTGTCTTGCAAGAACTTGGCAAGCCCAAAATCTGCTACATGAGCCTCAAAATCAGAATTGAGTAAAATGTTGTTCGACTTCACATCTCGATGGAGGATCAGCGGGGAACAATCATGGTGCAGGTAACATAGGCCTTTTGCAGCTTCTATGGCTATTTTCAGCCTAGTATCCCACCTGAGATAACCGCCTCCCTTTCCGTGAAGAACCTCACCTAAGCTTCCATTTGGCATGTACTCGTATACTAGTAAATTGGTCTCTTTATTGGAACAAAATGCCAGCAATCGCACGATATTCCTGTGCCGAATCTTACCCAACGTCTGTATTTCTGCTGAGAGGCCGTTATCATGCGAAGAACCTTTGCTTATGCCTAAGAGCTTCTTAACAGCTACCTGCTCTCCTGTTGGGATAATTCCTCTGTAGACAATGCCAGCTCCACCTCTCCCTATCACATTGGTTTCTTTTATACATTCCAAGATATCTTTGCTTCCAAATTCCAGCTTTTGGAATGCGGTTAGCTTCCAAGAGTGTGAATTTCTTCGTACCTTTCGTGTCTTGATAATCGCCAAAGCAGCAAAAATCAAGGAACAAACCAAAAGTCCCAAAGCAAAAAGAAGCTTAAATTTTGCAGGGACTTGAGAATTTGTGCCACTCTGATTATGTAATTCTAATGGAGACGTAGAAGAATAATTGCAAGTGTTCAAGTATGACCCACAAAGCTGAGGGTTACCAACAAAGGACGTTGAGTTGAAGAATGCATACTGTCCAAACTGCGGTATTGATCCGGAGAAGTTGTTGTGAGAAAAATCTGCACTAGTTAGGCTTTTTATAGAACCAATTTCCTTGGGAAGGCTTTGGTTTAAGTGGTTCCAAGAAACATTGAGGTAATTCAATATGTGAATTTGAGCAATTTGAACTGGGATTGGACCACTGAGTTGGTTCTGGCTCAAATCCAGATACGTTAGCAGCATACAATTGCCTATCTTGGATGGGATTGTGCCTGAGAAGTTGTTTCTACTCATATCCAACTTTAGCACACTTTTCAATCGGCTAATCTCAGATGGGATTTCCCCTGTGAATCTGTTCGAACTAAGTAGTAGAATCTGCAAGCTTGAGAAATTTCCAATTGAACCTGGAAGTGACCCTGATAACCTGTTGTTTGAAAGATTCAGCTGGCCAAGTTTTGTGGGTACCATACCTCTATCTTGTGGAATTCGTCCACTGAGGTAATTGTTCTGCAACTCCACGAGTGATAGCTCTGGCAAGTAAAGAAATCCATTGGGTATAGATCCTGTCAGATAATTCTGTCCCATTCGAACTCTTGATAGTGTGTCGCATTTACTAAGATCCTCACGTAGAGGACCAAACAAGAAATTGTTGAACAGAATTAAAATCTGCAGCCTCCTTCCGAAGCAAAGAGATTTTGGGACCAAACCAGTGAGCTTATTAGTTGACAGATCAAGCTCAACCAATCTACCATTTGCTCCAAGCTTTGAAGGAATGGATCCTGTGAAATTATTGTGCCACAGCTTTAGGACTTCCAACTTGGGTAGCTCCGCAATAAACTGAGGAATCTCGCCATGAAATTTGTTGACGAATAAGTTCAGCAGGATGAGCTCACAAAGACCAGACAACTCGAGTGGAATGTCCCCTGTTATCATATTGTTGGAAAGGTCAAGGGATTTCAAGTTACTCAAATTGCCTATTTGAGGAGGAATCGAACCACTGATCTCATTTGTTTGCAAGAAGAGAGTATCCAGTTTCTTTAGATTGCCAAGTTCGGGAGGAATTGGACCCTCCAAGCTGCAGTTAGCTAGGTCTAAATGAACCAGATTGACCAGCTTGCCAAACTGAGGTGGAATTCCACCATCAAACTCATTGTAGTAACCCAAAAAAAGCTGCTTGAGATTTGTTAGATTACCGAGTTCAGCAGGTATGGAACCACCCAAATCATTTCCAGCAAGAGATAGATATTTGAGCTGCTCCAAACTTCCATAGGCCTTAGGAATTTCTCCGCTAAAGTAATTCCCGCCAAAATTTAAGTGCAACAGCTTGGGAAGTTTTGTAACGCCTAATGGGAGTGAGCCATTGAAATTATTGTCATAAGCGTCTAGCACCAGGAGCTCTTTCATCTGAGAGAAATCCCAGTTTGGCTCTCCACTGAACATATTGTTTGATATGTTAAGAAACTGAAGCCTTGTTAGCTTGTGAATTTCTTGCGGAAAGTCACCCGAGAAGCTGTTGCCAGACACTGAAAGATTGGCAAGGCTGCGAAGTTGGGTGATCACTGGAGAGAGAGAACCAGAAATGTTAGAGTTGGATATATCAAGAGAAACTATTGATCTATTCAAGACATCACATTGAACGCCAGTCCAAGAACAAACAGACAAGTAGTTTGACACATTCCAACTACGTAGAGGAGTGCAGGAATCAAATTCTTGTTTTAGAGAAACCAGGATTGATGCTTGCTTTTTCAGAGACAGATTGTAGGAAGAAACTCGAGTACAAGAAGAGAGGAAGGATATGATGAGAGAGAAGAGGAAGAGAAACTTCATATCCGAAGAAACCATTGGCACCTATGGCGTTTAGAGGAGGGTCCTGGAGATTTCAATCCTTTTATTCAGATTGAAGAAAAGCAGTGAGCATTTGGTAGAATACTCTAATAGAGCTTGCAGAGGTAAATACATAGAGAGAGAGAGAGAGAGAGAGAAGCTGAGTGAATCTAAAGGCAAAGTGTTGCACATTAACAGCATCCGAGGTCCTTTCTCTTTAAGCCCAGTATATTTTGGTTTCATCTTTTGCTTTATCAAAAGAAAAGCAAAAGCAATGTTTGCATAAAGACGTAGGCACGGACCGTTTGATCAAACAATATTTTAGAATCCAGATTGCTTTTCAGGGCAACTTACATGTCTGCCCTTAGCCCCCATATTTTCTTTCCGAATTATTGGATTCATCCGGCTTTGAATCTTCGAATCAATGGTGGAGGAGGATTTTATTTTTATTTTCTTTTGAGGAGGTTTCATTTATGAAACAAGTTAATAAATAAATACAAATTAGATGAAAAAGTGGATGCCAAGTCAGGCAATGGAATGTGCTGTGATGGTCTTAGTTTTGAGTTATTCGTTTTTCATGCGAATAACTTGCTCTCTTGGATGACCGGGACCGTTACCATCTTTCTTTTTCGTCCCTCGTAGCGTAAAAAAAGAAAATGCCAGCAGCATGTTGGCGCATTCTCTCTCCTCAAAATTGCAGCAATAGCTTTGGAAATATATGTTTGAAGAACAAGGACATAGATTCCCACAGCATAGCAAATAACAGTGGGCTTCCCAAGCAAAGGAAGATGGCTTGGCAGGTACGCATATCAAACATCAACTCACCTTGCACTTTGCATCATCTTTTCCTTTTAGGATGGAAACTAGCTGCTAGCTACTCCTATTTTCCGGGCCCAAGTACGTACGTCTCCTTGTTTCCAATCTTTTGGTCCATCATCACCTTCATCATAAGTTGGTCCATCCCCAAAAGAAGATGCAACTATCCCACGACATTCCATTTTAATTCACTTATCATATTCGTAACACAATCAATCAACAGTTCCACATTATAGTTAGTAACCCAGATGCTAATCTATAATTCAGACAAGATTTACATTATATTTTGTTTCTTTTTCACTTGAGGTAACAGAAATCATCCCTCTTCACAAATATAAAATGCATACTCAAATTAATAGTTAAATTAAAATATTGTTAATTAAATGTATACGAGTATTTAACTTATTGATTGGTATTTGATTTTTTTTTCAAAAGCTCCAAATGACCTAGTGCTCAAAACTATCGAATCCTTTTATTTAATTTAGTTTTAAATGATTTTTTTTTAAAAATAAAATATTGGAGTGTGTGTGTAAGCTAGCGGATGATGACTCTTCACAGCATGGACTAGGTGAGACCTCACTTCGAACTCAATATGATTTGGGCCCACGGACAAAGAAAATGGGTTTGGGCTTTGGCTGCTCTGCTTGGGATTGGGAATTTAAACCCTAAACAAGTAGAGAATAGCCGGAAAAGCGCTGCCATGGCAAAGTGGGAAATAAGGAGGACAGGAGAGAGGCATTTAAGGAAAAGCAAAAACAAAATACACTTCTACTGCTACTATTACCACTACCACTAAAACTAAAACTTAAACTAAACGCCCACGCCCACGCCCACGCCCCTACAAGGCTGCAACACTTTGGGTTTGGCTGCAGCTGAGTGCGAACTGGGTTCTTCTGTCTCACTGCTGCCTACTTCTCTCGTTCTTCCATCCACATAGAAACTCATACAGATAAAGATATTAGATGCTACATGGGGCTTTGGCAATTGTCCTATTACTCCCCTTGAATCCCGATTTATGAGTTTTCCGATGGAAATGATATAAGACTGCAGGAGATCAAAACTCTGTCCAAACTAGTTCATGTTCATCCGTGATATACGATGATGAGGTCTGGGCTCTGCTGCCTGTTTCTTCCGACAGTGTTGCGTGTGTTGATTTTTCTATTTCCTGTTGGCAGAAATTCTACTCATTACACAATATGAATATATATATATATATGTAATCAGTTATTTCTCTGGTAGATTACCTGATCCGCCTCCTCTTTGTCGCGGTGTTGTTGCTGTTGAGGAGAGACAAAGTTGTCATGTGGAATCAGATTTGCTTCCACCAACCAACCTCTTCAATGCTCATCGCCTTTTGATTTAGATTTCTCTTCCTTTTTCTCCTTCGCTTCAGCTGTTGGTAGAATTATATGGTCAGATTCGGACTGTGAGCCGTGGATTTGAAAATCTCGTCAAAATCCGGTTCTTGATAGATTTGGAACAATCGCAGCAGCATGACAGCACCAAATTTCAAAAATCTCTTTTTTCTTTCCTTCCTTTTACACTTGCTTATGATCACTATTCACCGATGTATGCCTTGCCCTTTGTTTCTCCGTGAATTATTCCCTTCCCTGTTGTTACTTCTTTTCATCTACACTAGAACAATGGACGGAGAAAGAATGATTTTAGGGTGTCGGGTAATCCATTGTCTCCAATTTCTTGCTTGTTCTAAATGCCTTTTTTAGTAATAACCCTGATCTGTTGCTTGATATTGTATTTTTTTTTTGAGTCAGAAACATATGCGATGTGAATCCAAAATCTAAATCCACTTTACTATGCCTGTATTTGTTACCTCCATGATTTGGAGGCTCGTTTGTGTGGCAAATCAAATGGTTATTGTGATTCTCTCTCTCTCTCCCCCTAATAGACAACAAGCTTGAATTTTTGTTACTATTATTATAATCTAATTTTATTGAGAATGGCTTTGATTTACATTACAGATATCAGAGAGTAAGTCCAGATTGTCCTCCTTTGAGCAGTGCCAAAAAGTCGGGTTTGAAACCAACAATAACAACAACAGCAGCTATGTGCAAGGAAGAAGGCGGCAGCTGCAGCAACAATAGTAATATTGAGAATGGAAGAAGCATTTCGAAAGATATTATCACTGCGTTTGAAGGAGCAAAGGGGGTAAGATACAGACCCCCATCTAGAACCCAAGACCACCACCTCCACAATAGCAATTTGTCCCATCCCAGTTCTGGTGTTGGTGCTAATGGAGTACCCAACTCTCCTCCAAAAGCACAAGCACAAACTGAGAACAACCACCACCATGAGACGCCAAAGAGAAGCGAGACGACTAGCCCCAACCGTGGCGATGTGCTATTGCAGTGGGGTCAAAAGAAAAGGGCAAGAGTCTCAAGATCCGAGATCCGACCGCTCGCTGATGATTCTTCCTCGTCAACTGTTCCAGGGAGGCAACCCAGTGGCAATAAGGTTCACAGGAGAGTCTTACATGCAACAATGCCTCCTCCGCCACCTGCACCTCCCTCTAACAGCGCCAGATGTTCTATCTTAGAAATGGTTTGTTTCTAGCAGTATCCAACCCAACCCAATGCATTGTTTTTTTTTTTTCCTTTCTTTCTTCCATTTCTTTAAAAACAGAAGAGTTTTAATTAATTAATTCTGCTGTTGATTTTTTTCTTGTATAGATTGATTTTGTCTACGTACTCCATTTTTTTTAAAAGTCTTATACATACTCCCTTTATTGCTCAAGATTTTGTATTCATCTTGTTTTCTTTTGTGCATTATATTTTAATAAAAGGTACTGTAATTGTAAGAGCTGTTTTTTCACTTGCGATTTACAATATTTACTTTCCTTTGAGCTCTACCTTTCTTTAAGACAGTAATGAGCTGCTTGTCTATTAGGTGGGTATTAAATTCTGTCGTTACTAACACTATTGTCTGCCCTTGATTTTTGCGTATTTTGTACTGTACAATTCATCTACGCTTACAAGGCTTGCACTTCCCACCTTTTGCAACCAATCCAAGCCTCATCAATTGTCTTCTGTTACATCTTTTCTTGGCCATGACAGGAATCTAGATGAGCGATCAGCCGCTGCAAGTGGATCACCATCAAGAAACAGTGGTGGCACTAGCCGAGCTGCTTCTAGATCTATGGCAGGGAAAAAATCTCCTCCTCTAGAGACCATTGATAGAAAGAAGTTGTGTGCTGGGTCAGTCAAAGATGAGAAACAAAATGGATCAGCAGTGCAAACTGACCTCATGAATCAGACTGATTATGCTCTGGTTCAATCAGAACAGGCAGGTGGAGCTGCTAATAGCACTGCTTCAGCAGCTGGAGTGGGAGAGAAGGTGAATGTTGAAGTGATTGAATGGCCCAGGATTTACATTTCCTTGTCAAGAAAGGAGAAGGAGGATGATTTTTTAGCCATGAAAGGAACAAAGCTGCCTCAGAGACCCAAGAAAAGGGCCAAGAACATAGATAGAACGCTCCAGGTATTTCTGCTTACATGTATGTTTAGTAACTATATTTTGGTATGCCTTTCTAAGTAAATCATGGTACTCGGGGCTTTGGTGTATTTGGCAGTATTGTTTTCCAGGTATGTGGCTATCCGATTTGACTAAGAGCCGATATGAGGTCCGAGAAAAGAAATCTGTGAAGAAGGTAAGGGCTGTGTGTTTTCTCTTATGAAGGAGTATATGTGTGTGTGTGTGCGCGCGCGCGGGCACGTGCGTGCCCTTCTTAATTCTTGGCCTTGTTGTTACTAGGGATAACAATAACTTGATGATTTGTTTTTTCACATGCACAAGTTGCGTTCAAACTGGAGGGACTAGTGTTATTATGCTGTAATTTAGTTGATGAAATAATGAAGCTGAGGGTGGGGGGTTTTAGTTATTGTTGCAGGGAGTGTGTTTGTAAATGCATGTCAAAAGAAATTGCAATGTAAAACAATAACAAGTAGTCATGGTTTGGTTTTGTGCTGGTGGTTGCATATGGCAGCAAAAGCGAAAGGGATTAAAAGGAATGGAAAGCGTGGAGAGTGATTCGGAGTAAGATGACAAGAGAGGGAGGGTACCTACCTGTGATGTGAATACAGAAGAAATGAATTTATGATTGGCGGATGATTTGTAATTGGAGCTTATGACATTGACGCGAGGAGCAGTGTTCTTACGTTTTTTGTTTGCACGAGCTAGCTCATTTTTTGTTATGCCCAAATTGTTTTGGGGCGTTTATATTCTTTGCATTTCTCTTGTATAGAGCCAAGCCTTCTCTGCTATTTCTTTCACTTTGTGTTTCCATTTTTATGCAGAACTTTGTTTCGCAAAATTCTAATACAGAAAGAAAGAAAATCGCAATAATGCTCTCTGCTAAAATACCCATCTAACCGTGCACACTTGTTTCACATGCATTGTTATGCAAATGACAGCCAACTTTTGATTGGGATCTTCCTCAGGAAACTCCCTGGGAGAGTATTTACATCTTAAATCTTCCCAATTGGCAAAGGGACCGCACTACACGCCTTTTTTCTTCTTTCTTTTTTTCATGTATGGATACTTTACGCCGTACTAAAGCCTTAATAGGAACGTCGATCGTTGATTAACATGTACGGTACATTGATGCCTCAGCTCCCTTCAGTAATAATAATATAACATAGATACCGCCATATGTCCTGTAATCAAGGAAATTGAAGCCCAAAAACAAACTCACCGCCTTCACCCAAACCCACATACATCAAACCTGGCTCTATTTTCTCCAAAAATCCAACGTCTCATGTACTCAATAACTTAACATCTTACTTGGATAATTCACGCTTCCATATAGTACCTCTGCCATGTTGAAAATAAAATAAAATAAAAATAATATCTTTTTGCAAAAACTTAACTGCCAAGATGTCTTAAATGACCTAATAAAATTATTCTTTTCTCTCACACAAGATGACTACCACCGAGTTGTACATATTTATAGATTGAATATGTTCATTTTGCTTAGATAAAAGTCTAAGAATACAAGCACTCGCAGCAATCAATCCCCAAGCTTATGCAAACAAAACCCTAGCAAATGTATTCTTGAGCAAAGCCTTGGGCAAAGTATTCTTTGAGGTACGACCAGAGCACATCCACAGCACATTTATGAATTTGAATTTGTCCGACTTTCCTTAAGGCTCTGCAACCAAGCATGTATATTTTGAAGCATCAGCAAAATCCAACTTGTCAAGTATCAAGTGTACCATTTACATAACATACCAGTCGTTTGAAAGATCTTGTATGTGCTGCTTTCTTAGTCTTCTCCTGATCTGGTTTGGCACGATTGAGAGCCTGCATGATAATAATAATAATAATATATATATATATATATTCATGCATTCGAGCATTAGAAGCATTCACTCGCAATTTTCAAAGAAATTAGCTAGAAAGCTTGCAGCAAAATGGATCTTATGGAACCACTGTCCAACTGAACATGCCGTTGACAGAAACATAATCAAGTAACAGAAGATACTACCTGAATGAGTGACTCCACACGTCGCCGCATCCGGGTATGCATAAACCCCTCTGAGCACTGAGTAAAAGAATGGAAATTACAGAGATTTAAGCCTTTACATAAGTGTCTAACCATATAGCAAGCAAAAGAAGCAAAAGACTGTACTCTCTATGTTAAAAATGCCCCAAATGCATAGTGGCTCCTTGAAAATCCTTAAGTAATAACTATAAAATGACAATAACCAGGAAGTGAAATGTGTCTAGCCATATCAACCCACATAATATTGCATCCTCACCTATTACCCAATTGCTTCATCCAAACAATTTCTTCACAGCTATATATATTTCATCCAGAAGACACTCAAATCAATTAACAACAAAAGAAAGAAAAACATGATTGAGCACCCTTCAGTTACAAGGTACCAAAGAGGTTAAACCTTGGCAATTGAGCATCTAAGACAACATTGATGGCCCAATGGGCTGTTGGAACAGAAAATGCCAGTAGAAGATAGTCCCTATCAGGAAGGAACATAAATGGCATTTGGATGTATCATTTACACTATAATATAATCCTTTTTCAAAATAACATAATACAAAAACATATACAAGTACAAGCATGGATTTAGAAATTCAAGGTAACATTCTTCTATTAATACAAGTTACTGCCAAATTGCTTTTTTCAAAAGCAATTCAGAATCCCATTCTAACAAGTATTAAACGAACTTTTCAGTCATATCTACTGTAATTAGGCTACAACCTCAGTTCACATAATTCATGCTCATATTTCAAAGTGCTAGAAAGTCTAAAAGAATCTTTAATGAAGTATACATTGAGCAAAGCAATTTATGCAAGGTGAAACTCACCTTAACATGATAATTCACATATGCATGAAATGTTGATAAATTCCACACAGTACGGTCCAATTTTTTGCCTTCCACATGACGAGGGAAAATAACTGCATTCATTACACATAATCGAGTTTGTAATATTGACAACATAACTAAAAAAGGAAAAAGAAACTCTAGTCTTGTGATATTACCAAAAGTAACAAATCCTGCATTTGCTGATAATGCATCATCAGTTGCTCCCTTCAGTTCCAGCGGAGGAGAATGAGACCACAAACAAGGAGGTGCATTATGCAGCCCAGCTGTACGCCTAGATTCCACAAATTCCTGAAAGATGATGAAGCATTTAACTGAAAAGCAAGAAATATAACAGATAGGTCCATATAAATTTTTGCACCCCCTAACTATACCTGCAGGAAAGAGGTTGCCAGAACAGTGTCTATCGAGTCCTTGAATCTCATTGGAAACACCGCTGTCACCTTCTCTGCCTGCTAAAGTAAAATTTTCTACCAGTTAAATTACAAGACAGCTATAGTCATGCACATATAAAGTAGATATGTTTGTACCTTCAACCCAAAAAAGAAAAGAATTAAAAAATTGTTTGTACCAAAGAGAAAGAGAGACAGAGCATCTGTGAGGCAAAACAAATAAAACTGTACCTGTGTGAGTGTGGCAGATGACCAGTGAAAGAAAAAATAAAAGAAAATAACAAATCTATATCCTGAGACAGGGAAAGAAAACCAAAAGAAAATAAAGTATCAAAGAAAAATTACAATTTCCCTATCACACACCAGCATTCATTTTTTATTTAATTAATTAATTTTTCTGTTGATGGGTAGAAAGGAAAAAGCATTGCAGCTTGAATCCAAGACCTCAACCTAAGCTAAGCCTGGTTGCCCCCACCTGCCCACAGACAATTCTGTGCTGGTAAATTAGATTGAGTAAGATTCTCACCATTTAAACTAAAATCAGGCTAGTCACTTGAAACAATACCTGCGGAAGAAGGAAAAAGGACTCATTTGGTCGATGCACAAGAGCAACAAGCCGATCTATATCAGGAGCAATGGTCCTTGAAGCAAGATATTTTAGGATTACTCTTAAAGGAGCACCTAATACCACTTCCCTAACAGATGCAACCTTGACCAAAAGAGCATGTCTGTACTCTGCAGGACATCAAGAGTTGAAACTGTCACGAAAGAACGCACAAGATGAAGACCCATGAAACATGTAAAAGCTCGAATCAGTACGATGGTGCACAACAAAGACTCACACACACACACTGTGATATCTGCAAGTATGCAAGTGCGCTCTAAGGCCAAGAGTGCTGACATGTTGCATCTAATTAATTAACACCAAATAACTTTTCCAGTGAAAGTCAGCCAACATGGATATTTAAAACCATTAATCCTAATCAACAATGTAAACAAGCGAAATGCTAAATAGAGATCTCCTTTTAATAACCTCCTCCTACTACAAATTGAACACCACACACCACTCCACCCCTTTCTGAATAAAAAGGCCCATATATTTTTTATTTTCAATTTAAAAAAAAAAGAGACAAAATATTGTCTTCTAATTCAAGTAATTCATTTGCAACTGCTGGCACTAATAGTTAGCATTTGCTTGTTCCAATTTAGCAATTATATCAAACATCAAGAAATAGGTTTAGTTCACAAGAGTCTGAGTGAAAAAGATATCATTAATCTATCTGGGCAATGTTTAAAAGGTTAACCAATGGATGGGTGCAGAATTTTGTACAGGTTCATTTAAAACAGAAACTAATAGTCAAAACTGCCACTAATATCTAGGATAAGACTCAATAGTTGATTGAATTCAACTATATCTCCTTTTCCTATTAAGAGCTAGCTTTGTGTGATTGATGGAGAGAGCTATGGAAGTAGCAACTTAGAAGAGGCAATAAGCCCAACTTGAGGTGCAAGCCAAAGAAAACATTACCACCTTTCTGTGTTTGGAGTGCACATATATCTCACAGCAACATTAAATACAATAAGCTCATACTATTGGCTATGAAGCTGAATACCTTGGTCAGATTATCATTAAATGCCAGTAAATACCCTTGCCATTCTAAAGAACAATTGATACAAATGTAGTGAACGCAGAAAACATGGAAGAAGTAAGACATCATATAAAGAGAAACACTGATAAAAAAATATATCTTCCTTGTATTAATGTTCTATTTTATTAAAATAAGCAACGTTCTCAGTTGAAAGTTTATTACAGGCATTCGTCCTACATTACGCTGAAACTGCTAATCCCTTTCTACGATTTTTATAAACTTATCCCTAATATACTTAATAAGATCATTATTATGTCTCTATGAATCTAAGAGCATATGAGACATTTTAGGCATGGTTACTTGTTACAAATTTTTTCTATTACATTTTGGATACATCATGACAAATATGACTATAAGATACAAGTATCCTACCTGATATTGATATGATGAGCATTGCATATGCATCCAAAAGTATCAGAAACCTGTCCTATTTGATATGCTAGGATGCAAGAAAGAGATACTTATTAGAAGCATCCCTACCAAATATAATTGATCTCTTAAATTAAAGCTACTATTGAGTTTCAGAAAAGGTATATGATATACTTCCTAAAAGCTATGACATTTCACCTAGGAATCTTGGACTTTTCAATTTCAGGTGTAGCAGTACTTGCCCTCATATTCAAGCTTAAAGCCAAGAGAAGAATTAAGTCATTGAGAAAATATTCTAACCAATAACTAGGACAACCATACAGCCACAACTATACGCCAAAAAATGGTTTTCTTATTTACTAATAATGAAGGATAGGAATTGTCAACAGTTTGATCCTAAGTGTTTTGGCATATCATGGTGCAAGCTTATAATGACCTTAGAAAAGGAACTCATTGACCTTCATCTGGAGAAAGTTTGGACAAATTCAGTTTCAATGTGAGATTGAAGCCATCCCTTGGAGGATCTAGAATTTGAACAATTACACCATAAGCTGATTTTATAGCTTCTATGGCTCCAAATGGAAGTCCACCAAGGAAAAAAGTTTCCCGAGGTGGGGTAGGTAATGATACCGAAAGAAGTAGAATATGTGGATTCTTCATTGACACCTGCATATTGATTGTAACTTAGATGAGCATAATATAAAGATTGTGGTTCCTAATGGAGAAGGCTATCATAAAATGTGCATGAGTAATTTATAATACATAGAGTTGATTTCTTTTAGATAGATGAATGAAACAAAGAAAAGATTTCTAAATCACCTGAACATGGTAACGAACATCATCAAACTCAACCCAGTGGTAGTCTAGCTCAACTGACTTTTCAAGACTGCAAAATTAACATGAGAGAAATCACAAGCTGTGCAAAACGAGTGCAAAAATTTGAAAAATATCCAGTGGTTACAAACGAATGAGCACTGAGAAAGGAGTTTCTACATTCAACATCAGTATGTGTAATTGATATACAAATAATAATGCATAGCATATATAAGTCCATGACCATTGACAACATGCACCACATCAAAAATGGTCATGGTTCCAACTTTATGTATGCCTATATCATATGAGAATGGTGCAATTTTACACCGTTCACACTACTTTCTTTGTGGCTTTGTGGATTGTGTGAAGTGGGATCCAGTGAAAGTAAAAATTAATTTAACTTTGCAACGCAAAAGCCCATGAAAATTGAAAACCCATCTGAAAAGCCTAACTCTACCCAATTGCCCTTAATGCTTCATCAATTCATTCTGTTCAAAAGTTGAAGTATGCAAACAAAATAAGCCTTATATGGTGAATTCATACACTTATGTTATTCTAAATTAGATGTTTATTATAGTTTTTGAAATGGGGAATTTGTATTATTCATTTTGGAATTAACCTTTGCCAACTATATTAATTATTTCTAATACATATCAACTTTGAAAACAATACAAAACTAATTCTGGAAACGCCGATGCCTCAACGCTTTAAGCGTGCAAATTTGTTGATAGTCTCATCAGTTCACATGATACATCTCTCGCATACCGATACCTAGGGCAGCGGTTAGGTATTGAAAGCAACACTGCTAGTTCAAAATATGAGGTGAGCAACACACTGCAAACAACAACGAGAATGGATGTAATAATGGAAGACTTGGGCATCAGAAAAGGAACCATCAAATTCCTCACAAGAGCAGGCTACAGAGCATGACAGATACATCAATGAATTAGAATTGTACTGCTATTCTCTACACGAATTCCCAACTACGTCTTCCAAGTTGATCAGATTAATTAAGTGTTAAGATGCAATTAAAGAAGCAAAAAGGCAATACAATCAGAAAAGAAAAAGACAAAAAAGAATCCAACCAAACGATAAAAGTGTATATTTATCTGATTAAAGGAAATGAAATGGAAAAGAAAAAAAAAAAGAAAACGAAGGAAAACGCACTTCTGTACTCGATTCAGCAAAGTCTGGAGAAGGAATCGTGAATGGGACTGTAACAGTATCATCGATTTCTTTTTCTGTCGATCAAAAATATCAAAGGATCAAGGAGACTAAATTGGAACTATCGCTCAGTCTTTATGGTCGGGATCTGTTCCTAGTTCGGAGGAGGCGTGCTCCGGAGCAGTTTTTTTTTTTTATTCAATTAACAATTTTGTTTCATGTCCTACTTTTGGGATCAGATTGTGTGTGCGCCTTTACCGCCCCGTTAATATACATCTAGCTTCTGTACTTGTATGCTAAACAAGATTAGCACTAATTAATTAATAATCAATAAAAGTTCTTTTTTTATCATTAATTGCCTTCATTACTTAGCTTCTTTCGACTTTAATCTTAGGTTTTTTTTCCTTTTTTTTTAATTGGGGGAAGGGGTGCATTAATAAAATTTCTTTGAAATTATAATAAAAAGAAAATAAAATCATTAACAATAATATATATATTCCTAAGTATTAATTGGTGCATAATCTCTACCTAATGACTAAGATTCGAATTTGTTTAATTTCAAAAAAAAATAATATGTAAAATCAAAGATATAAATGCCATTGTAGCTTTTATAAATAAATATGTAAAATTAAACTTTAAAAATAAAGGTTTAATTAACCCTATAAATCACAACTTCACATTTTTTACTATCCATTCAAAAGACATATTTGATAAGTGGTGGAAGATTCTTTATATATCTAATTAAGATTCACCTTATATTTTATTGATGTAAGATTCGTGATATTTTATCTTATCTAATTATGCAACATCTCATTACACTAGTTCTTTACTTGTAAATAAAAAGAATTATTTTACTAGTCTGAATCTACTTCAACTTCTTAACTTATTTTGATACCAAACATTATGAATTAAAATTAAAACCCAATTGCATACTATCCTAAACTCTAAACATTAAATTTTAAATAATCTTATAAACTTATAAACCCAACCACTAATCGGTCCAAAAGAGGCCGTGATAGTAGGTTTAATAATCCAATTCGTGATGATACATCATCCACCAGTCGGCCCAAAAAGGCCCACAATATAAAACTAAAGGGGGCGTGTGCTGTTGCGGCCTTAAAGGGCCAACCATAAATCCAAAACTGAGCATGAGATTGATTACCGCTGCACCCAAAGAAGATCCATTTGTTTGTTGGGTCGAAAATGGAGATAAGCGAAAAGAAAGAGAGGTAGGTTGTGCAGCTTAGCGCAATGTCATTTTGCATTTGGATAAGATATTTCCATTTGCTCTACTCTCGACTCTACATGCATGCGAAGGGGTTTTAAGCGTATGTTCCTTATCTGCTAAAAGTTAAACCAGGATATTTTACCTAACTTACGATATTGATGTTTACGTATTTATATTCATTGATAAATTTTATTTGGTTACAAGCCCACAAGTAAAGCATACCATAGAGAACAGCCTTTGATTGAAATAAGTTTGTACATGTGTTTCAACGAGAACAGCCCTTGGGACTCATCTATGAGTGACCACCACATACAATACAGGCTATATATATATACCTTCGATCTAGATGCATCTCTGATCAGTTGAATCAAAACCAAGTTCACAGCAATACAAAATGAAAATTCAGTTGTGACATGACAACTTATCATGGTGTACATATAAAATCTAATAGATGTTTTGTGTTGCAAATTAAAGATAAAAAAACAAGTGTTTGATCGATGATCAGATGCATATGAATTGATTGCTGTTAAGCGGGAACGGCAATGCAGGGAATCTGGAGATATGATTACATGGCATTAATTAATTAAAAGAAAGATGTTCACGCTAGGATCAAGTGTGTCCCTCCTAATTGACCGCTTTGCAGTGGTGGGGATGCTTTGCAAATCGCATCTGCTTTTATGATTGCATTCGTTGACACTTAACTTCCATAACTACCGGGTGATCCCTCCGTCACAAGCAGGGGCTTTATTGACTTGTCTCTGTCCAACATATATTTTAACTGTATATTATATTATATGCGCAAAAATCTGATTCATCCTGGATACCGTTCTACCCTCGCTAGGACAACAGAAGTCAATAGTCATTCTGAATCATGGCCACGTATGTTGTCGGCAGATTACTCATTTGACCAGGCAGTTTACATCAAGACTCACATGGTCTTTAGTGTGTGCTGCACATATGGAGAAAACGATCTCCATCATCCGTCAATTATCTCCGGATACGAAGACCTATATATGTATTATCGGCAATTTCTCTTTTGCTATTCAAATTTACTGTTTCAATATACATATTCCAAGAAGAGGAAAAGTGTGTTATTATTTTCTTTTCTTTTCTTTTGGTTCATAATTGGAATAGCAAAAGTTAAGCGCTCCCTAGTCCCAACTACTCTAATTCAGAACCCGAATCATGCTTCACGCTTTCCCACACCCTTTTTCTTTTCGACATCACATGCGCGCTGGTTTTTTTTAATCAAAGATGGTGTATGTTGGAACTTGGAATCAAGACTGTCTCCATGTATTATATTTACAAAGGACAAATTCAGCATTAGCTATTACTCCTTTCTGTGGGCAGATCATATATTCACACTTCACATGATCTGTACTATAGCTACACATGATAATTAAGCAACCATAAATTTGATGAAAAGAAATTGATAGAAATATAGAGCAAAGCACCATCAAGAAACAAGTACTGATCTAATTAGGAAATTAAAACTACCCAATGCTCAAAGAAAAACAAGAGTGAGGGGGAAGAAATTAAGGAGGGATTTGTGTACTCGGAGACAAGAAACTAGGTGGTGAAGAATCAACACTCATGACTCATGACTCATGACTCATGAGAGGCAGTACACAACTCTACATTGCATCGCATGTGCCTGCAGTTGCATGCCTATCACCAATTGTACGTTTTTACCTTTTTCCATCCTGCTTTCTTCTCGGTCCTTCTCTTTCTTCACCGCTTTAGGCGTATGACAAATGAATTTCATAAAAACGGTGAAACAATAAATGATACTGCAAAGAACAACGTGGGGTACCCAAACCGCACATGGCCTTGCCTAGAGAGGGCATAAAATCTCCAACTGTTAAGATAGGGTTAGGTATGGTAGTTAGAAAGTTCTATTTCACGCTCCAGTAGAGAGACTAGCATTGATAACTGACTATAATTCCGAGACTCAGTCTTGCATTTGCCTCTCTCTCTCCCTCTCCCAAAAGACTTTGCTCCATTTCGCGTGCGTTCAACGTCAGGTTAGGAATGAAAAGAAAATTCGCATTTGAATGTTTTGGTTTTATTCTCCAAGAAAACAGAGACTTGGGAAAATAACGTGCTGAGAAATTGGGTTACAAACAATAAACATGTCAAGCACGGCATTCATTGTCTCCAAATACACGACGCTTAGATGTGTTGTTGCTGACAAGGCACAGTCACCGTCAAGCACGTCATGTCATGTCAATATCTTATCTGTAATTCACCTTCAAATGTATGTTAGTACTTTCTTCCCCTATGATATACTTAATTGGCCACCTTGACTGGGACTCGGAGAATTTTGAAATGAGATTTAGTTAACAAGATGCATTGCAAAATATTTTTATTATTTTTAAATGTAATAATTGCTTAGGATGAATGTAATGATTTAAGAAGACATGGTAATGTTTAAATTTTAACTTGATTTGGAAGCAATGGAAATCCGAAAGAAAGCTCGAATTCTTATGTACTTCTGTTGGCAATAAGAGATCCCCTAAATGAGAGAGCGCGGGCTAGTCAGGACCCATGAGCAATGGGCCACGCGGGGCGGCATGAAACATATATAATTACTATTACAGACTGGCAGTAAGCAGTATAAATTTGACAAATTGGATGATAGTGAAGTCATCAAAGTCCGTCATGTGATGAAGTTGACTAATCAAACGTCAAAAATCTCAAACTAAGCAAGTTTCTGGCGTATCTCTGGTTTTCTACAATTTAAATGAAACGGAGTGTTGAAAAAGACGGAATCAATGAACATCTACTCACTCGGGATGTGAATTTGAACAAAAAAAAAAAGTTCCTGTCCAAGATGATAATATATATATTGAAAAAGTAAATTTGTCGGCAGGAATTCGGATAGGTGGGGTCACGCTGCCGTACAAAATGAACGGTCAACCGTCAAGCATGAGGTTGGACCCTCCCCTTTCTCCCGTCCCCACCTCAACTACCACATTCTAACAGAAGGATGAGATTAGCACCTGTCCCTAACGTGGCAAAACTGTCGTAAACCGACAATAACCGTGACTCCCCACTCACCTACGTCCACGACGACAAGCTAGGAACTAACCAATTAGCCATGCAACTTGTTGCCGCGATCCATGGATTAAAACTGAAGAATTAGTCAACCACCCCATACAAGGTAATTTTTTTTCCAACCTTTAAGAATTAAGAGTAGAATAATTGCCATGCACTTGGTTTTTTTTTAAAGATTTATATAAATTTGTTTATTTTAAGAAAAAATTATTAAAAATAATTTTTATCATAAGCTCAATTAAAAAATGACCTTCATTACAATATTAATTGTTTTTAGATAATTTTTTATATAACTTGACAATAATACCCTTTAAACCATTTATTCCAAATTAAATAATCTCAATTCCTTCTCTTGCTTCGTTCAGATAAAAATTTTAAAATTAAAAATAAATTTTTCTATCTCACCTTCCAGCTCTCTAATATCATTGCGGTCTATATCGCTATCCAACTCTCTCACCATCCTAAAAAGTAGAGATAATATTAAGATATATGTTTTAAGTTTTTAGATTTATTTATTTAGATTCATAAAACTCAAAAGTTGATGGGTAAATTATATAATTTTGGTAACTTAAACCTAGCTGAGAGTAGCAAAATCAATTAGTTATTGAGCAATTCATGAATATATTTTAAGCATTACGTCACTGGATATTAAGTAATGTATAACTAAATATTAAGTATTGCATGACTAGTTGTTATGTATTACATAACTTAAACAGTGCATGATTGATTATTAGGAATTACGTAACCTGTTTGTTTGGCATTACGTGATTGAATATTAGACAATGTAGGACTAGATAAGAGGCATTACGAAACTAGATTTTAGGAATTGTGTGACTTGTGCATTGCTTGACGAGATTTTAAAAATTGTTTGACTAGTTTGTAAGTGTTGCATGACTAGTTTTTAGTCATTGCGTTGCTTTATGTACTTATTGCTGACGCTAAATATCTACTAATTCAGCTCCCTTAATAATAA